AACCATATCACAAATCTTGAAAACAAAAGAACCTCGGTGCCGCAGTCGTGAAAAATCCAAAATCTAATCTTTCCTTTTTTTTTTTTTTTTTACAGAAACGCTTGAGAGTGTGGAGGTGACTTTTTTGTAAAAAAGCAAGGCCGACCGCTTTCCTGTCAAAACACCGTCATCTCGTGACGAGTGTTCGCTGACGAGCGGGCCCCTTTGACTAGTGTTCCTATGACGAAATAGCCTAGAACGAGAAGGCCGGTGGGACCAGTTGGCCTCTGACGAGTTCTCCGGTGACAAGTTGGCTTCTGACGAGTGGGCCGGTTACCCACAAAAGTAAGTGACCGTTACTCTAAAAGTAATCCGTTACTTTCGTGGCGTTACTTTCAACCAGATTTTCCTGAATTAAGAAACAAAAGTAGGAAGGTTATTCAAGGTCTTACTGCTGCCACCTGTCCCATTTACTGACCTTGAGTATTTTGAGCAACAGCTGGCTCTTGAAAGTCTCGTCAGACATATATTGCGTCATTTCTTACTGAAGATGTCGACTGCTACACTCTTAAATATGAGTCGTGAAATTTACGAGGAATGTTCTGGCAGCTCTATTTCCAAACATTTCCCGTCAAACTAACGTACAATCATTTTTTTTTAAAATTATGTGGGAAAAGTCAAAAACACGAGGCACCGCATTTTTAATTTAGGAGCATAGACGTGAAAATGACGATTGAATCGTTTTCAAATCTTCCCTCGTGAAAATAACGTACTGTCGTTTTTCTAAATTGACTAGGAAAGTCGTCATTTTTATTTGCGGCTTTGTACGTGAAAATTACGAGGAAATCTTTGGCAGCTTATTTCCAAACATTCCTCGTGAAAATGACGTACCAGCGTGTTCTGAAACTGTGTGAGAAAAGCAATAAAGAAAAAGTGGATTGCATTTTTCAGCTGAAAGTATGTATGTGTAGCATACAGTCATTATGATCAGTGTTTTTCACGTAATTATAAAGACAAAAATTGAAAGATTACTTATCACTTTATTCAAGTTTCTGAGCTTCCTCACTGTACACTCTCCTTGGTGATGATGGTGTGCCATTACATCCTGCGGGAAAAGAGAAGAGAAAATTACCCTATGCCACCCTATGATATAACGTCACATAACTCGCTCAAAGGACCACTATGAGAGGAAAGCAAGAAAGATAGTAACAGCTTCATCTTGACAAAAGGGTGAGGAAAATTGGACAATAGCATTTCTGAAAGTCTGATATGTCAGACATTGCTGGTATGCCTTCTTTGCATGCCCAGGGCTATGCTACAGGTAATAGTCTTCACTGCAGGGCACAACATTTATTACATCAAACCTTAGGCACCATAAAGAAAATGTGTGACAAACAATAGCCTTTTCCAGATTCAAGGTTGCAGCTGCTACATTTAAAGCCCATATGGATTGATGAAGGCTACTGCGAAAACATCCGCAAATGGCCATTTTTCAGGGCTGTGCTAATATTAAAATTTTATTATAGCAGTTTAGTATTATACGGTATTTGATATTGGTTTCAACATTAATCGTACTACTGTAAACGGCTTAATTTTTGCAAAGGCTTACTGTTTGCGAGTTTATCGAAATTGCTTCAAATTGGTCGTGCAAATAAGTAACCCTTGGCTACGAATACACTGAACATTACTTCTGATTGTGAAATTTTGTTCCCACAAAGTATTTCCAAAACTGACACTTCACAAAATGTAGGAAATATCAAGCTCGTGAAAATAAAGTCGTTTACGCCAGTCGAACATTTCAAAGCGCTCGTAAAGTCACCATTGCAATGAATTGGCTTTGTTGAGCGCGCTTTTCCGCATGTGCACTGCGCTGCGGAGAAGCGAAACCCATGGAGCAGATTCCGCAATCGCATTATTCGCGTTAACACCCAACACCACCTATAGAATAATAAAAGCCTGGGCATCGCCTCCTCTCCCTCCATGAAACATCATCACAGTCGGATGGCGCGAACTCGGCTACAGGGCCCGAGTCCGACCTTCGACGTGCTGATGGAACACGAGCCCCGGCCGAACACTGACACAGCACTCGTGTCCAATCTCAGGCCTCAATCGATCTGGCTGTGATGATGGTGCGGAGGCCTTCTGCTTATCTAGGTGGTGGAGTAACACCCCGGTCGCAAGAATCTCGCTTTGTCGCAGCGCAGACTCATAGTTTGGTGGGAAATGCACACCTCTATAGCGGAGAGGTTTTGACATGTACACAGGAGGAATTAAGAAAAAAATTTAAAAATGGTTACGTGAATGTTTATGCATCTGATGGATGTTGGTACACCCCTCAAGGTCAAATTTAGAAAACAAATAACACTGTAGCTATTCTGTTATCAATAATATGTATTAGGCTGCAATGTCCTAACATGCTATGTCACGACATTGAGCAACTGTTCTAATTTGAAATTGAAGGATGAGCATGGCGAGAAGACCATCAAATCGTATATTTATACTCACAACCTCTATGTGGGCCTTGACCTGATGATAGCCAGAGCCACTACATAATTTGGATCAGAACTAACCGAGCTTTGGCAGTGGGGCGATGATAACGAGATCAATTAGAATTTCATTTAAAAAGTATATGTATTGCCCTCATGCTGATTATGTACACTTATAGATCTATATGCCCATGCAGCATGCTGCTGACAAGCATAAATAAATGACAAGCTTTGCTTGCTGCCTCGATTACAACGGTGCGGCTTAAGCAGATCCTTGAGAATTTTAAGAGAGCATTCAGTTTGGTAATCAAAATTATTCACTTCTAGCTTTATTTCAGTGGATGACTATCTGCCCTGATATTAGGTATTTTTTTGTACCATACCTAAATTTACTATTCGTGCACGATCATGCTCCTTCACTGACATATTACTGCATTTTGAAAACATATGTACTAAAGTAATCAAAGCAGCCTACACCTAAACAAGTGATACCAACACTGTCAGGATGGCTGAGGCTAGCGTGACGGCACTAAGTAACAGGCTTGGAGAGAGGTGCCGACACTGTGATATTCAACTGAAAAGTTAATAAGCTCAAGTCATTATACACTTTAAGCCCAAAATTTATGATGCACACATGCCTATTATTCTCAGTATGAAGCCAAAGGCGAACCAAGTAGTAGTCCGTTGATTTATTACCGAAACAGAATACAATTTGAATACCAAACTGGATGCTTTGCTTATTTTTGGAAGGTTGCGATAAAAAATGCACTACTTAATTGGGTGAAAAACAAAGCGTTGTAATACAATCATGTGCATGATTACATTCTACAAGTCGTTTTACATGTATACACATCATTCTATATCAAAGCTAACAGAATTTTCAAAAAAGACCGCGAGAGTTATCAGAATGTCTTCTTCATTGCGCATTCGTAGGACTCTGTGGACATCAGTAAAGGGGATAACCGTCACAGTATGTTGACTAATTTACGAAAATTTGTTAGCTTTGTAACTAATGGCTTTATCGGCCATGCTGCAACAGCAGTGTTAAAAGCCAGCCAATATTAAAGGCTATCCCGACTTAAACAATTCACGAAATGCCAAGCGGCTTCCACATATTCATTGTCCAACTTTTGTGTTTTAATGTCGGATGCAAAAACCGTGCTCAGGAGCTCAAGAATTTGTGCCGTTAATGGTGGGTGGAAGAGTGACATAGTCGTACTGGGCACATCGTCACTATCTCGACAGTGTGTCCTTGGTAGATGCATCCGCTTCATACTTCCAAGATAAAAAAAGTGGGTCCGAAGTAACCACGTTCGCACAACATCCTGAGGTCTTCCCCGAGTGTGCAATTTTCGAATCGGGTGACAAAAAAAGCAAATTTTCAGCATTCCATATCTTGAACCTTGTTGCTATACAGAAATTCTGTTAGTCTAATATTTACTGCCTTTGAAACTAGAATTGAAACGTATCCCATAAAACAATTAATTAAAAACATTATTAAAAAAATGTTGTTCATTAGTTTTGATTAACATTCTGCAACGGTTATCCCCTTATCTAATGTCCTCCAAGCCCCATAAACACACAGTGAGGAAATCATTTAAGTAACTCGTGCCATTTTTTTTAAATTTCGTTCGAATCAAAATAGACGGCTTTGTATACATGTATATAAAAATATTGAATGCATGTCCATCCCACTATAGAGGTCCACCTTTTCCTTAGGTAAAACTGGATCAAACTGGAGAAGGCCAGTTTTACATAAACCCCCAGCATGGTATGTACCAAGGGCCGCCAGAAATGATTGCTCACCTCAGAACACTCTGTACGGCTTGAAGAAAGCGGCTTGCGGTCTTTGACGGTGGGTCTACCCGCTTGGTGCAGCTGGGACTTGCAAGAAAGTTGACGTAGCTTGTCATATACCAGAAAGTAACAAAAAGAAGGCCAGTATTACATAAACCCCCAGCAGGCATGCACCAAAGACCGCCAGAAATGATTGCTCACCTCACTGAACACTTTGTGCGGCTTGAAGACAGCGGCTTGCGGTCTGACGGTGGGACAACCCGTTTGGTGTAGATGGGAACTGCGAGAAAGTTAATGCAGCTTGCCATGTACCAGAAAGTAAGAAAGAGAAGGCCAGTATTACATAAACCCCCAGCATGGCATGCACCAAAGACAGCCAGGAATGATTGCTTACCTCATAGAACACTTTGTGTGGCTTGAAGACAGCGGCTTGCGGTCTGACGGTGGGTCAACCCGCTTGGTGTAGATGGGAACTGCGAGAAAGTTAATGCAGCTTGCCATATACCAGAAAATAACAAAGACAAGGTCAGTATTACATAAACCCCCAGAAGGGCATGTACCAAGGACCACCAGAAATCATTGCTCACCTCAGAGAGCACTCTACGCGGCTTGAAGAGAGCGGCTTGCAATTTTTGTTGCTGGGACTTGCAATATATTTAATACAGCCTGGCGTATACAACAAAGACAAAGCCAGTAATACATAAGCCTACAGCACATGTCCCAAGGACCACTCCAAATGCACGCTCACCTCATGGGACATTCCACGTGGCTTAAAGAGAACGGCTTGCAATCTGTAATGGTGCGTGCACCTGTTTGGTGCAGCTGGGACCTGTAATAAATTTAGTACAGCTTGCCATACACCACATAGTAACAAAGACAAGGCCAGTAATACATAAGCCTAAAGCAGGACATGTCCCAGGGATTGTTAGAAATGCTTGCTCACCTCATAAAGCACCCCATGCGACTTGAAGAGAGCGGCTTGCAACCTGAGGGTGAGTGCACCAGCTTGGTGCAACTGGAACCTGCAATAAATTTAATACAGCTTGCCTTATACCCACAAAGTTACAAAGACAAGACCAATACTACATAAGCCTCCAGCATGAAATATCCCAAGGACCACTAGGAACGCTTGCTGAACTCATAGAGCTCTCCATGCGGCTTGAAGAGAGCGGCTGGCAATCTTTGGATAGTACCTACGGGTTCATTTCCCTTCCTTGATGAGCCTGAGCACTTTCGGATAAATGCCGCTCTTTGCGGTATGGCATGCTGCACACCTGGTACCTCTTTTGAGGTTCATCTGGCCAAAGTACCTATAACAAACATATAACAATTGGGTCACACACTGCAGTAGCCAGCAATACCACAGCAATGACAAACGTTAGATAAGTGAATAAACATAAAATTATGTTTACTATCCAAAATATGTTAATTACCCTCTAAGGAATTGGTATAATGGGCTATGCTGCGATTGCAATTTTAAACGGAGACATTATTAAAGCCCAACATAAATGAAACGATTTTGTGAAAAAGCAGCAAGTTTTGAGGTAATCCATGTTTTTCGGAAATCGCCGGTTAGAGTTTTGGGGTTACATTACTCTCTTTAATATTGCAATTGCGAAGAGGCCCATTAAACCGCTAAATAATAATAATAATATTCATAATAATAATATAATACATTTATTGTATCTAGCGCACATCAGTTAGCATGACGGGCACATCACAGCCAACATTAGGCTTGTGGGATATGCCACCCTGAAATTAAAAGTCCAACATAGCTATACTTTGAGCCCGAGTACAAAGTGAAACAACTACATGCAAACGTCATTAGCATGTCACAGGTGTCATGTGACACAGTTAGATGCAGACACACACCATGCACATGCACACCAACATATGCAAATGCAACGTTAGGTTTGAAAATAGCCACTGTAAAAAAGCGGAAGCAATTATAACCTCGTTAAAAAAATCATGCACTAATGATAATAAACGTAACTATACTAAACAAATAACGCAACTATACTTAACACAAATTCATTAAACCGAGTCCAAAGGGGAAGTGTCACGGCCGGGGTGTCTGAAGCTGCACAAGTGTAATCTACAGTGAAATAAGAAAAGAAAAGTAAAAAGCTATGTAATTAAACAGTGACTACAATTTTTGGTTAATTAGTAAACATATTTTGACGTTTATCCGCCTGTCTAATGTCCGCCGAGCCCTACAATTATACAGTGAGGATGGCATCCACATATATATCACCTTCATTTTCCTTTACAGTCCGTTCAAGATTACAAAAAAAAACTATATCACAAGAAGCTTTCGACGTGATTTCAGCTGTCTAGGGACTCAGGTGTGCAAATGAATGAACAGTACTCATCAATGAGAAATAAAACAAGAAAGCGCAGAAAAATAAATAAAATATAAACTTCTGCGAAGCCGATCAGCCGTTGGGTATGCTGAGCTAATTATTACGATTTTGCGAAATGTTCACCCCTAAACAGACAGTGCGGTGGAAGCTGAATGTTCGTTTGACCGGTCAACTGTCGATTCTGCACAACGTGGTCACCGCCTCTCCGCATTCTCCCGCGGGGAGAGCGAGGTCAAGCGATAAGTGGCTTTAATTATAGTTGGCGATTTTCCGGGCTATAGTCCGTACCCGGTGTATAGTCCGCAGGGGCAAATTAGGGGTCCAAAGTAAAAGTTCTTGCTTAGATACTCGATAGTCTGCACCCGGTGCATAGTCCGCGTGCCGTGCATAGTCAGCACCTCGTGCTTAGTCGACACGAAAATCTTCCTATAGACGGCACACCTTGACACATGTCTGCTTTCTTAGCACACAAAGAAGCCTAGAATCAGGCACGTAGCCAAAACTTTTTTTCGGGGGGGGGGGGGGGGGCCTCCCCCTGGCTACGTGCCTGCATATAATATACATAAATCAATCTTAACATACTCTTTCACTCACAAAATCCGTCACATCTCCTCATAATGAACGATCTTGAAAAACAAAATTCGTGCATAGTCCGCACGCGTAGAGAGTCCGCACAGCCTAAAATTTCAGCTTTTAAACATGTATAGACCTTGGACTATAGCCCCCGGAAAATACGATATAAAAAATAAGCACACTGTTAAATATAAAGTCAGAGCCAGCAGCGAGCTGCAGAGTGGATGTTTACAACAATTAACCCTCCAAACTGCTTGAGAAATTTCCCGTCAAATTACGAGGGCGGCCAATAATTTTGTGTACGTCTTAGAGGCTCGTGAATCGAGTGCACTGGAAACTTCCGTTTTCGAAGCCGCTAAAACGTCGTTCAATGACATTGCGTCGTTACAAAGACGTTAGCCGCTCGCTCATGTTGTCTGGCTGCATCAATGTTGTTGCAAAAACAAACACAGAAACTAAGCTTCCATAAAAGCTCGTACTCACGAGTTCTCCTAAGAGATAAGGCGCAGGGCTCTGAATAAAGGCGCCGCCGCTGAAGCACGGATGAATAAACACGTGCATATTATAACGGAAACATAACGTGCTGAAAAAGAAACACCAAAAGCACGATGTGTCGGTGGACGCCCGTGTTCTCAAGGACTGTTTATACTCCGACGTTGAGCGCAGTGAACGCAGCGTAGCGCAGAATGCGCGCCTTTCATTGGCCGGCAACCAGGAACTCGACATCTGCGACCAATCAGTATTGGTGCGCGCTGCGCTACGCCGTGCCCGTCGACGTTACGTTGGAGTATAAACGTACCTTAAGACCGCAGATTTCGAACACGCTCGAGCGCTTTCCGTCTTCAACCGAAAGCACTCGAACCGGGAACGTGGAGAAATATTCGATTAAAACACGTAAGCAAGACATTGCAAGGATAAAGTCACATTGCATACCTTGAAGTGGGCGATTTAGTCGTCGATGAGCTGATGAGGGCCTGATGCATCACAGAACACTACACTGACCACGATGTCAACAGCCACCGAGGCGAGTTCGACGAACGCCCGAAGAGCGATAGCATGGCGATAGCTGCTGCAACCTCTGTTTGCGCCTGCGCGGCACGGGCGGACGACTCGGAGCAAAACCACAAAGCAACAGAGATGGGTATTGCAACAACCGCAACAACGCACCAACACCGCCATTCTGCGAGAGAGGAGGGCCGCGAAAGAGCTGCGGGGCTGCGCGCTGCGCGGCGGGGCATTCAACTCCTCGCCATGTGCGCATGCTTGCACTCCTGGGATTTCGGCTTTTCTGGAAGGCTCGGCTCTCGCGCCAAATAAATAATGAGGGCATCCTCGTATTTTGAAATGATGAGCGTGCCCGTCTCTTTTGACGAGGGAAAGACACGTCAAATTGACGTGAATTGTTTACAGTTTACGCTGAGCACCATTTGAACTGAGTCACTGGATGGGAGTGCCGTATTGTGCCTCACGAATATTTAGTTCTCTGCATTGAGCTTTTTCAGCGAAGCAATGGAGGTACTATTTAGCTCGAAGATAGGGCAAAGCTTCATCGTTGCAGCCGTTGCCTGATATTCGAGAGTTTTAGTAGAGTTGGTACCAGTAAGGTGAATATAAATAATATTTAAGGTTTGGCTCGATATTCTTCTTCCTTTGATTCTGAACAGGTCGAGCCTCGGTTGAGGCGCGTTGGTGAATAAGAAAACGTTTCTAATAAATAAATATAAGTGATAGAAAAAAATATACTCAGAACGTCGGTTAAAATAAGGAAATGCAAATGCACGTTTGTCATGTGTACCTTTCTTGATGCCGTTCAAAAACGCACGGAGCACGGACCGATTGCAGTTTACTCCGCTTTTCTCCAGACAGACTTCCGCTGATGACACGGGCAGCCAAGGGCAGAGAACTGAGCCACACTATGGCCCCCCACTCATGAGTTTCACTCTCTCCTCAAGCCCAGAATCTCAAGTCTACGTCAGCCACCACTATGTTTTATTTGTAAAGATCTCTTATCTTTTATTTGTAAAGATGCGTCGTGTTGGAATACAAAAAGCGAAAAAAAGGAAGCCAATTATTATTTTCGGAGTGATCGCAAAAAGCTGACTCACAAAAAGGGTGGCTGAGATGCGTATAATTTGACTGAAATTCACAAATATTATGGGCCGACCCTAGAAATTGGACTACAAAAAAGGAAGCAGCTTTCAAAACAGGTTCAAATAATGTGAAAGCAGAAAAAAATACATCCTGTTTTCTAAGAGAATGTGATAAGTGTGCAGCAATGAACGAGTGTGCTTGTGGCAATATTACAACACCTTCATATATTATCACATCCCTTTTTGGTGGATTTTAGGGTAGACCGAGTGTTGTCTCGTGTTGTGACGTTATGAAAATGGTCGTAGTTACTATAACCGAGAAGGACATCGTTAATTCTTGTCTGTGCACTTACCGCCTAGAGTTTCTCGAAGAGGCATACAATCACTTGTTGTCCACCTCGCCCCGCCTTCGATCGTAAAGAAAAAAACAAAGACACTAAAAAAAGCGAATATAACTTGCCCCCCCCCCCCTTTTTTTGTGCAGAAATGCTTATTTCGATTTTATGACATTGTTGTTAGGATCTAAAAAAAAAATAAATTCAGGGGCTTGGTGTTGCAAAAAAGGCTTTGCAGAACTGGAGAGTGCCAAGCCTCCCTTGGCGCTGGTCAATGCGCTCAACTTTACCAAAATAAAAACGACCTTTTCTTTAGAAAGGCGGGGCAGGGTTGGTCCAGGAAAAAATTGTAACGGATTGCAAGGAATCTGTCACGTAAAAACTGTAAGGGAATTACTTTAAAATTACTCTAGAAAAGATGTAATTATCCCGTTACTAAAATACAGATAAAAGTAAGGGATTTCAAGTAATTTCGTTACTTGTAACGGATTACGTACAAGTCTGGCTATGGCTATGGTTTCGTGGATTTTTCGTGTACGTAAACAAAAATTCACACAGCCCTTTCTTTGTCGTCGTCGCAAGCACTTAAGTACCTAGTTCCTTCCGCTCTCCCTGGGTGAGGGTCCCGTCGCGCGTGTCTAATTTCCTCTGGGTGGTGGTCCCGCACGACCCTTGTGTCATATGATGAAGAGCTTTGCTGCAAATCCATCTTCACAACGCGGGATAGCTTGTAAGTTTTTGAGTGGTAAATGAAGGATTGTATTACCAGTCATTCACTCAAAGCAAGAAAAAACAGAGTAAAGAATAAAAACGTAATAAATTAAAGAATACATTTACACGTTTTTAAGGTGACTACGACTACTCCCAAATTACCAGAGTTATACCTAAATATTTAGGTTAGCGAGGCATTTCTTTTTACTTCACTATCCTAATCATGTCATAGTGATATGCCTACCGTTTTTTGTGCCGTATGAGCGTCGTTTGGAGTAGTAGTACATTAAAGATTAACCACCGTCTAGACCAAATATTCTATTGATTTTTTTATCTAAATATAAAGAACAGTCAAGCTCGTTAACATCTGCACAATGATTTATTAACGATATAAATAATGCGATCAACATGCAAGGGCTTAATTCACAGGAGAGAGGCATAATAAATATCTACAAATGCCAAATAAAAAGTCAAACAAGCTTATATAGTGCGGCAAGTATTTAGGTTTTTTTTTTATTTAATATTTCTAATTGGCCAGGTGGAATACATGACCAGAAAGTTAAAATGAACTTGTAACCCCTCTGAACAGGTTCATGGCTATCAAGCTTGACATCTCTGAAACTTGTTGGTGGTCCTTTCGCTGAGAAACCATTCACCATCTTCGTCAGCCTGTATCCATAACTTCTCTTCAATTCGCAAATCAGCCTGACTACGTTCGTAGTTAGTATCACCCACACGCCATAACTTTACTTACTCATTTAAAGTGTACCTGGTCACACCAGTCGACGGGTACAGACAGAAATATTTAGATAGTTTATCGACTGGGAAGATTGCCGTTTACGGGTTATAGCTCTGGGAATATTTCTGAGGAAATTCGATCGAAACGTAAAACATTGGCGCAACGTCAGTCTGGCTAAATCCAGTACATATATGTGCCGAATCGATACCTCGTATTAACTAATTCGTAATGGTCTGGCAGCATCGATCGTGCATAGTTTCGTCCAGTACAGGTATATGCTGTAGATATTAAGGTTGTTACAGGCAGCGCTAATAGTGTAGAAGACGTGAGCCTAGTTTACTTTCGGCGACATTAAATACCAGATATCTCTGTGAATAACATTGTCTCAAATACTATCATTTTGCAAAAAGGAGAACCAGCCGTTTATTCTGTGCGTTTGGTTGTCATGATGCGACATTTAGTTTCAGAATTAAAGTATTTTTCGGCTGCTTATGGTAGGAGAAAAGAATTAGGGAGGACGCCTATTAATTTTCCGAGTTTAGTAAACAAAGTACTTGGCTTAGTGGGGATAAGGTGTCATATTTTTTATCTGTTCCTTGGAGATCTTATTGTTTTGATGCCTGCGGAGACAAAACAAATACGCCCTCCTGTTCGAACTGCGTATGTGTGAGTTTTCTGAGGTCTTAATTTAAAGTGCCGTTCGAACCGTAAGGCACCACCAACGACCGATACCGGAGGTCCTCCTTGAGCTTTAAAATCAGCTTTTTTTGCAGTTGAAGGGAGCGCGCTGAGGCTTTATACATGAACAAAATAACTCGTTTTAGTGCGTATCAGGAGCACTATGTGTGACATTAAGTGACATGTGAGATAAAAGGCGCCAAAGAGCTGCGCTCTAAAAAAAATACTTGTATATCCTACCATGCACAGGGACCACCGTTTTGTTCAAGATATTTAAGGCGCGAGCCAATAAACACATGTTTGTGACGAGAAACTGGAATAGTTGGTACCATTGAGCGCTGCTCCGTTGCGCGCTTCGGCTTCGCCTAGGCTGGAGTTCTTGTATATAGCTACCTACGGTAGCAGAGTTGCGCATTCAGCCTCGGCGGGTGGCCGTAGAGCCGGCTTTCCTGCACGCCCTGGATGCTTTGCTCGGCACGTGACTAAATTTGGCGAATAGCGGCACCGCGCGCGCCGCCGCACATGGAAAACAAGAAAAGCGGAGAATGAGGCGAAAGCAGGGGAACATACGTCGGGGCACGAGCAACGTCGGCGGAGCAACCGTAAAGGTGGCTTTCTTGCACGGCACCGGATGCTTTGCTCCTCACGTGACGGATCTCGGCTAATAGCAGCGTGGCGGCACGGGGAAAACACATGCGCAACTCTCCTCCCCCTTCGGGGGAGCATATCGAGAAACTCTAGCCTAGGCCAACGTTATTAGATTAGCTCAGTTACGGAACTGCTCATAGGCGCCGCAGCGACTCGCCAAGCGTCGCTCGACGTGCCGCCAGACGGCTGCTTTGGTAACTGAATCAGAATACGTAGGTTTCAACGTTACTAGAAACGTAAAAACCAACGGAAAAAAAACTCCTTTTGTAGTAACTTTTATTGGAGTTTAGTACAAAATGGGGGGCGCGTGATCTTTTCTCAAATCTTTAGTTTGCAGGGTTTTGCAGTACAATTAATATTGTTTTCATACAACCATGCCTCAGCCGCGATTTCAGGTAGCGCGTCCCGACCTAGGCTCATCTTAACTTCGGGCGAATTCGCGGCGAGCCCGCTGGGGGACACGAGTGTGGCATCCCTGTGACCCTTTCCACTGTATGTGTTTCGGCTCCGAAATAGCCGATTGAAGCCAAAATAGATGTTACGTGCAGTTCCTCGAGTGACCGCTGTAGGATAAATGGTGGCATTGTAATCGCCATTTGGCGCTTCAGCTGGGCTCTTTGGAACGCGTAACTATGAAACGAAAATATAGATGGCGCTTCGAACGACACTAGGCGGACTGAAGTGAGTGAGGGGGGTACCCCGCTCCGCGGGAGTTCCACTACTGAGGTAATCTAATAACGTTGGCCTAGGCCGACTAGCGTGACGTCACTTGCGGAGCCCCAGGCTTTCCGCTCTAGGTGGCTTTGGTACCCTCACGTCCTTCTCCTCCTTATCCTCCCTTCCTAACACAGTTTTCCCGCTATATTTAGCTGAAAAATTGACTCCACGTATCCTCA